ACATTTTTGCTGTAAGTTACTTTTTAATTTTGTGCTTTCATTATTTGTGCTCTCATGTCATAGGCTGTTCTGATGCGGTGTTAATATTGCAGTGTGCAGGTCTTGTTCCCTTGCCTGCGTTGAGTGTCCAATCTGTCGGACAAAAATTGCAGATAGGATTTTTGCTTTTACTTGATTTTGTGCTTCACCTGCTTGGAATGATGGTGCACGAAAGGTCTGAGTCCTCATGAATCACATTTTGCTCTTACCTTTGTTCAAACATACATTCTGAAAAATATTTCTTACTCTCATCTCTTTACTGCAGGGGTTCGTTTATTCTTGTCAACTTGCTATTTTCTATGATATTCTTTAATTAGTTCAACTGTATGTAAAGTTCCTGCAACGCTATTCAAATGCTATATCATTTTTTTCCTGTGTACTTAACCAAGGAACTGTAGAATAAGAAACAAAGCAACAGAGGAAAGAGAAAAGGTTGGAAATTAGTAAATCTGAAGTTCAGGGGGTTTCCATATGATCCTCTTGATCGTCAAATGTAATGTATAGATAGAACAAATAAGCAAATACAAGATGCCATGTTATTGTTGTATTGTCTGTAAATATTTCTAAACGTCAATTATATCAAATGAGGAAGATTTGATAAACTGATTCATGAAAGCGTGCGTGGTTTTCCATCTATTTCCTTGTCCCCAAAGTTAGCCAAGCAGCATTGTCACTGTACTCTTGCAGAAAAACTTCCATATTCTACGATTAGGCACTTACTGATGAAGATACAGATCTTCTATGCCACAAAGAGTGATCCCTTGACAAGCATCAATATCGAAAATCTACGTTCTATTCCTTTCAAAGTATGAAATTAGAAGCTAACTGAAAAAGGATTTTCTAAATCTTGACACCTAACATCCGTTAAATGGATGGAGAAAGGACGTGAATAAAGAAGTCCAAATTACAGGCAACTGGAAGAAAGTTCATTTATGTATTAATAATTGTTTTTTTCTCACCGGGCTCTACCGCTAGCTTTACAAATTGAGTGGCTCATCCATAGCAAAAATGGTATAGTACACATCTGGTTTGATGCCGTATTCCAAGTTTGATTGGTTCGAACAAGTCAGCTTATAGAGAGTGATTGAGCTCACAAAGTAGATGAGGAATTTTTGTAATAATAGTGAAATATGTCCAAAGTAACCAAACCTTCCATATGTATAAAAAAAGATCTTTGCTCTAAAGTATTAACTAACGTACTCAAGATCAATGGATTTGATATTGGCCGTCCAGAGTGTTTAACCAAAAAATAAAAGAAGCATTAGAAGCTATATGCACTCAAACGCATTTGCATACACAACTTCTTGACAAGTAGTTAGTTTTTTTAATTAAAAATTTGATATACAGGAAAAACTACACTTGCAAAATTTGTTCAACAAAGGCGATTGATACGACAAAATAAATCGTGAGGGGCAAGCTCGCATGAGTTGCTCCTTGATTTTAAATAAATATTGTCACGGCGTAAATTGCTAAGTGCTGAATTTATGAAAAATATATTGGGATAATCTTATGAACTAAACGAAATGTTACAATGCATTTTGACTCTTGAATATCTTATATGACTTGTTGATGATGTGAAGCTCATGGCACGTTTTGAAATGACATTATTTCACTCGTTTTCACTTGGTTTTAATCAAGAAAATGAAATGAGCAATTTGGTGCTATTTTGCGACAAGGAAATGGATTTCGGCTAAAAGCCATGAATTGTGAAATGCTTTTGTGTGATGCTTGTGTTTGGCTTAACCGGTCGGGAGGTAAGTCGGTCATCTTGGGTCCTCGATGCATACATGCCTAGCTGGTCGGGGAGGTACGCCAGTTGTCGTGCATGAACGATCACTATCTAAAATCCCACAAAGATAGTGATGGACCTAATCCAACCCACTAGGCGAGTCAACAAGTATAACCAACAATTCGATATTCCAAAAGATATAAATAAGTCTAAAACATAGTGGTCGACAAGTAATAAAGAGTAAGTAGAGTATCGTTCCCACAAGGACTTGTGATCAACTATCAACTAATAATTAATTAATTTAAGCGATTTTCTAAAGTCTGATTATTTAACTATAATAATCTAGAGTTGTAAATTGAGAAATTAAAGGAAATAAGTCGGCAAGCTTAGAGACGAATTTAATGAGAGAAAATATTCTAAGGTTATGGGTCAGCTAACAATCCCGTTAAGTTTTTCACTTAAATTACCTAATTAATTTATCTGGTTTATTGATTGACATGATTAATATTACTCGTAGCATTCTCTCGAAGTACTACTCGTCTATTCAAGCTAATTTAACGCCTATATTTCTATGGAACTAGAACTAACAAGAACACATTAATAATTCCTGTGGAGTAACCAAGTAAGACGATTGTCTATATTTTTATCCTAACTGCAAATCCATTATCCGAGGCACAGGTTCATATTCTTGCTCTACTCAATCCTATATGCAATCTAATTCCCACTTTCGAGTTCAATCCTAGATTTGTCGATAATATTCAATTGGTGATTAAGCAATCAAATAATTAAGCACATAATTGAATCAAATAAAATAATATGATAAAATAATAAGAACTTTTCAAGCTTCAACTACAACGTTCATGTAACACCTACAATCCTAGAACTAATAAACTATAAAATTAAAGAAAAGAAAAGAGAAGGAAAACTCGTATCATCGAGCTCCAAGCACTGTTGCTACTCTACTGCGTTCCCAGCAAGTCTCCAACGTGAATAATCCCTTCAAATTAGGTTAGAATTCTTTTGTACAAGTTAGGAGCATATATATGATCGAAAAACTTTGTCTAGAGCGAAGTAGGACAAATTCCGGATTTGGACGCCATAATGGGCGCGAGGCGTTAATCTAGACGCTGAAGTTTTTTTCTCGCTGCCTTTGGCGTTTTGAGAAGTGCAGGGCGCCAGCTCGGGCACCCAAATTCCTGCTGCTTTCTCTTTGCTGCCTTTGGTGTCCAGGTTGGTGCAAAGCACTGACCTGGACGCTGAAATGGTACTTCCTTTATTTTTGTCCATTGTAGTTCTAAACTTGTGCGCCTTCGTTCTGTTTCGCTCCTGATTGGTCCCTGCACATATAAACACTAAAATTAAGCTCAGCTAATCGCAACACACGTGAAAATACACCAGATTTGAGTAAAATAGGAGGTGATATGTATACAAATGTAAATACTTTTAGTCGAACATCAACACCCCATACTTAAACTCTTGCTCGTACTTGAGCAACTTAAAGCTTCGTTATCCCAAGAATAACCCAAAATATCACATCACGAGGGAATATATAACCATTAAGCACACTATATAATACACATTTCACACACTTTCAACCTCTATATGCTAAACTATAAGCAAACAATTCAACACATTTAAACAACCTGTCCATAATTACCTTACATCAAAGACCGACTCGTCGTCACTAAGCATTCTCAACTTGCACACTCACCCCAACAAGAGAAGTTTAATAATGTCACATACCCATCATGAGATCATATGCCCTCACTATAAACAACAGAGTATATAGTCCACATATTCAAATATGAATCCGAACATAATTTAAGATGCCACGACCCAAAATCTACCTAGTTGTGATTGCACCTAACTCCAGTACTAGGTAAGCCAAACATAAAATAAGGTAACTCAAGTGAAGGATCAATAACAACAAGAATGAAAATAACTGGAATCTATACGACATCCCAAGGACTGGTTGTACAAGTCATGAGTCACTATGATTTAGATTTACAAAACTGATATGAAGAATAAATACAATATTTGTTTGAAGTTTACATAGATAAAATTGAAATCTTAAACTACCATGAACAAGAAGCAACTTGAATCTGGAATACTGGTACGTCGTCAATGCAAGGCTTCGTCTTCCACAGCTACGCAAGTCCAAGATCTACACACAAGGTGCAGAAGTGTAGTATAAGTACAACTGACCCCATGTACTCAGTAAGTATCTTGACTAACCTTGGTGAAGTAGTGACGAGGTTTAAGTTAAAAGATACTCACTTATTATTTTACCTGTGCAGAAGATAAGCAGAAAGAGCAAATAGAGACATGAATAATCATGTAATAAATGAAACAAGAATATAAATGACAGAGGGCCCCAGAATATTATCAATTCTCAGTCTCACAATACAATATGGTAACAGAAATAAACAACCAAGAATAACCATAATACATTTTCTTCGTTGCGGCGCGCAACCTGAACTCTCCCCCCATATATA